TGCTCTGATAAAGCCCTCCCCACTTGTGCTTACTCTAACAACCATAATTAAACTCAGTGGGCTACAGAAGCAGCTCTGAGAGTAGGCATACTTACTGGAAAGAAGGACATCCGTGAAAGGAGAGGGTAAGGGGGATAATGAGCAAAAGTCAGAATATATGGATAAAATTGTCAAACAGTTAAGTAGAAACTTTTTTGGTTTTTAATTTTAAAAGGTTATTAACTTTTTTTTTAGCAAAACCATTTCTTTCCATTAATTACCTCAAACCAATTGATCAAACATTAACTCAGATTCCCAGATGTTTTCCATGACCCTGAGGTTCAACAAGGAAGCACTGAGAAATGATGACTCCAGAACGTCTCAAGACTGTGCTGTGTGGATGCATATTAGCGCCCTGAAATCCTGCCTAGGTGTGGTCTGGGAATGGCAGGGATCAGGGCCTGACTTGCAATGCTAGAGTCAGAAGCAGACCATAGTAAGCGAGAAAGGTCGATAGTTGTCATGACACTGCTCTTTTATTACCTGGGAAATCTGCTCTAATTTTCATCGGAATGAAAATTAGCCATACCTCGTCTGTGAACAGATGCGGAACTGGAGACGGGTCCACTCTCCGTCTGTCATTATGAGCTGCTGAGCACCAAAACAGCTTCACACGCTGTGCCTAACTCACTCTCATCACTGGCAGAGCTCTGCAGGTTGTTGCTAGCTTTAATAGCAGAGAGCAGTACCGAAGCCCCAAGTTCCAAAACACTGATAACAATTCTCAGAGAACAAAATAAATGAGCATCTCCTAATAGGCCAAGACAGAATGATGAGCTTGTCTACTACCCTGGGCTTGCTTGCTGCACACATTTTCCCTGGTCGTTCTCCTCATACTTAATATCCTCAGTTCAAAATATGACATTGACAGTCCTACAGAAACCGAGCCAGTGTGACTCGTCATACCCCTATACTGTGTGTACCTAAAGCTGGGTGTGCCTCTCATGGTGACCGTGCTATGACAGCCTCAGGGTTTGCTACAAATCAATCATCTGTTCCTTGTCCCACTCACTGGATTCTTGTTAGAGGGCAACAATCCCCAGGGCAGTTGTTTATGGAGAAAGAGTTAGAGTTGGTCCTTTTCACATTAGGGTGAGATGGTTCTAATAACACCCACTCAAAGAATTGAGGTAGGGCCAGGCCCCATGTACTAGCTCCTAGCGGGGGATAAGCAGGTGATCATAGGTAACTCTGAGGTAAAGCACAGGAAGCTGGTCACAAAAAAGGGGGGCCACTTAAATAAAACCGGAATTGCCATGCTACTTTTCTATGGTTAGAGACAGCCAAAATGAGCAGAAATCATGCACTCTTTGGAGCTAGAGAGCCTAAGCTATCCTGTATAGCTCCTGTGTCACTTGGAACTAGTGACTCAAACATCTCTTAGCTAAAAGTTCTCATATGCACGCACACGCACGCACGCACGCACACACGCACACACTCCTCAATTATTTGTGGAAGTCACCATAGGGAGAATCCTACTGTAAGAGAACTCAGCAAAGCAAGCACCTGTTTTCCCATCTTCCTGTTGAACCCACAGCTCTGGGACAGGCACCTCTCATTTCCTCCTCTCTGAGTAGCCTCTAGACCTCTGCTCTGACCTAAGCCTTGGTCAGAGACATCAGGGTGACTCTGTGCAATGGATGGTGACACACAGAAAGAGGGCTTCCTTCCTTCCTCCCTCCCTCCCTCCTCCTCTCTCTTTCTTTCTTTCTTTCTTTCTTTTTTCTCTTTCTTTCTCTTTCTTTCTTTCTCTCTCTTTCTTTCTTTCTTTTTTCTCTTTCTTTCTTTCTTTCTCTCTTTCTTTCTTTCTCTCTCTCTCTTTCTTTCTTTCTCTCTCTCTTTCTTTCTTTCTCTCTTTCTCTCTCTCTTTCTTTCTTTCTCTCTCTTTCTTTCTTTCTTTCTTTCTTTCTTTCTTTCTTTCTTTCTTTCTTTCTTTCTTTCCCTTTTTTCCTTTCTTTCTCATAGCTACTGCGAAACAGAACCATCAGTTTGTCTGTCAGGAATAACCTAACTGAATTATACTAGAAAACTAACCCTGTTTATTGACCATGCTTGTGTTTCTTCCTCTGTCTCTGTCACTGGTCAGGTTGCTGCTTACACATCATCTCATGCTTCTGAGAAGGACATGAGGTTGATAGGTAGGCTGATAAGTTCAACACCAATTTGTAGATAAAGCAACTGAAAACCACTCAGACAAAAAGTACCTTCCCCTCTCTCATTTTCCTCCCTGTTTTGAATACCGGTGATTCCACAAAATCCAGAAAACCATTTTTCACTAAAATAAGCTCAAAACTGTAGAGCAATTACTATTATTGCCACTGCACTGAAAGCCAAAGTAACCAGATATATACTGACCGAGAATGATGAATCCGAGGATGCATGGAAAGTAGAAGTTAAAACAGAACAATTAAAACAGTAGAGAAAGAAAATGCATGAAAGAAATCAGATTAAGTAAGTTTTGAAAGAAGAAAACAAGATTTTTTTTTTATGACAAATGAAGTAAAGGTGAATTGGGAGATGGATGAGAGATCATTCTCTTTTCTTAATCTCTTTTCAAAACTATCTTATAGCTACTTCTCCTACACCCACCATCCTCACACATCAACATGTCATCAACATGTGTCTTTGATATCTTATTTAAACAAAAAGAAAAGCCATCATTCAGATAAACACCACAATGCCCACCTTTGTCTCCGCCTCCTCTCTCTTATTCCTCCCTCCACTGCCCGCTTCCTTAACTCATCTTTCTATCTCCAGGAAGAGGTAGGAAGTAATTGAGAAACTATTTTTTAGTGAATGAGGTTTTTGACCACAGTCCAAAAGAAATCTCCAGAGATTGCTTTTAAACTAAAAGCAATTTCACACCAGCAGAAAACTTTAGTTTCATGGAACAAAGTCTAAATGGGAGAAGTCAGAAAATGCCTTCCAACTAAGAAGCTTGGTCAAATACAGTGGCCCAGTTACTACCAGGAAGTATCTCTATCTGCGACCAAGAAATAAAAAGATAATTTCTTTTGTTTAATTCTTTATTAATTACAATTTATTCACTTTGTATCCCCCCTGTGTTTCCCTCCCTCCTCCAGTCCCAATCCCTCCCTTCTTCCACCCTCTGCATGCATGCCTCTCCCCAAGTCCACTGATAGGGGAGGTCTTCTTTTCCTTCCTTCTGTTCCTAGTCAATTAGGTCTCATCAGGAGTGGCTGGGTTGTCTCTTCTGTGGCCTGATAATACTGCTTTCCCCTCAGGGGGAGGTAATTAAATAGCAGGCCAATCAGTTCATGTCAGAAACAGTCCCTGTTCTCATTACTAGGGAACCCTCTTGGACACTGAACTGCCATGGACTATATCTGTGCAGGGGCCTTAGGTTATCTCCATGCATGATCCTTGGTTGGAGTATTGGTCTCAGGAAAGATCCCTGTGCTCAGATTTTTTTGGTTCTGTTGCTCTCCTTGTGGAGTTCCTGTCCTCTCCAGATCTTACTATTTCCCACTTAAAAGATAATTTCTTTAATGATATTGTCATTCACCAGGGCAAGATACTCAATCACTCATTTTACTTGCAGTCATAGATTTTTTTCAGATATATTTTTGCATTCAAGGTCAGCTTCCTTTGTGGTAGTTTTTCCGTAATATGGAGAGAACAAAGATACTATATGGGGGAAGCAAATTCAAACTCAACCTCAGCAACAGTTTACAGATAGAATCTCTAATGCATTTTCTACGAATAATTTTATAAAAATATTTCAAATTAATTTACCATTATTCACTGTTTTCCTGAACCTCCTAAATCATGTGTTTATTTGCTAATAATGTCCGAAAAACACAGAAAGACAAGGTTGATTTGCTCATAGGTAGAAAGGACGATGCAGTATCATTTAATTTTCTTCTTGTATACTTATTTCCTATTGGCAGCTTGAGATGATCCACTGACCTAGAGACTGTCAAGTACTGTGACTGCCACTCTTCTCTCTCCTCTTCCTCGTGGCTTATTTTGTGAAATGACAGTGCCTGGAGGAACAGGCACTGTCCCTAGCATGCCTGTGTCAGCTGCTTTGTACATTGACTTAGTGGTTTGAAATCTCAAATTGGTATTTTGCTCATCATGTTTTCATATTCAAGTTGGTTAAAAGCAGTAACTAAACATAGTTTTGTTCTTTAACATCTAATTATTAAAAGTGGAAGTGTGTCTTTTCATGTCTATGAATCCATCTCAAATATTCATTTATATTTAGTGTGTTCTTCTTTTGTGGGATAATTATAATTTTTATTTTGGTGGTTTAAAGTGTGAGGCCAAGTGAGGCTCCTGTCAGAATCCTCACAGCACCAGTTTCTCTTTCCTCTGAGAGAGCAATGCCCTGTGTAATTTTTCTTTCACAGGAAATGACTAATGGCCATCTTGGTGGTTCTTACTGCTGCTGTCTCACATCAGGTCCTCCATCTTGGCTCAAATCCATCTGATCAGCACACAAGCAGCCTAGAGTTCACTGGCATGTAAACACTCTGCAGTCTCTGGAGAGGTGCACAATAAAACACTTCAGTGGAGCTTGGCTACTTTGTCTTCTCCTGTAAGGCATGAAATTATAGGGCTTATAATTTTGAAAGTAACAAGATAAAATATCAGAAGTTTATTAAGCCTAGACCAATTATTTCCTTTGTCTAAATATGTAAAGACCCATATGAAATAGAGACAAACAGTAAAGGTGTAAGTCATTTCCATAGTAGCTACTAATCACCAGATTGGAAAAAAAAATGAGAATTTGAGTAATGACATAATTTTTACTTTGGATGCATTCCAATACCCAATGTACATAAAATAATGATTGCCAAGTGAAATGGATACATCAATAGCCAGCTGGATTTAAGTGATTTTAAAGCAAGTGCTTAGAGAAAGTCAGTTTGGGGTATCTTGCTGCTGAAGACAAAGCAGATCACAGATATGCTTACCTGTTGGCTTTCTGACAGGACTGGGAATTCCCACACTTCATGGGAGATGTTGATGTGAATCTCCCTGGGCTGCACACGCCTCACATGCAGTTCAAGATTCCCTTCTTCCAGAAGATCTTCAAGGAGGAATACCGCATCCACATAACAGGTACGCTGTGTGACTTTGGAAAACACCGCTGAGTGTTTTCTGTGAAAAGTGAACCACTGATGAGGGCATACATTTAATTAGCTCTTAATCATTTAACAATGCAAGGTGGAGCTAGGTGGGCTGCCATCCTTCTGGGCTGCAGGCTGATGGTGGTTTGGACACGTGAGATGTTAACACCCGACAAGCACTTGGAATGGTGATAAAGATGGTTCACCTGCTTCTTACCTGCCTTGAACAGCTCATCACAGTCACACTCCATTCGCAGTAACTAGCAGAAGACTGTCCTTAGGGACAAGGAGCGCATGGCAACACAGCCTCCAGTTGGGTAGCCACTGCAGGGTCTCCTCTGGCATTCTGGAATGTGATAACAAAAGGGGCAGGGGACAAGCTCTCTTTTAGAGATTAATTCCTGCCATGCTTCATGGGCCAGCACGCATTGATCTTAAACACCGGGGTGGCGTTTTCACGGTTCCCCGAATGAATTTTCAACATCGATATACTCTGTGTTTCTGCTCTTGCTGCTAAGGTGAAGACAATGTGGTCTTGAATCTTCAGTCAGTCCATATACCTTTAAAGGATTAGGCTACCGACTCCTTGATTTCACAGAACCTACTTCTATGGAGTAGCACAAGTTTGTCTCAAGAGGTTCTTTTGTGACTCTCCAGATTATTTCACTCTCTGATTCTTCATGCTTCTGAGACGAATGACATCTCAGTCATTCTCATCCCAAAATGATATCCTGGAGATACATTTTCTACCTTCTTTTCTTTTTAACAAAAAGCAGACAGCTGAATGATCATGGCTGAAGGGTCACATTCACTAAACTGTTCAGATGCAAGGCATGAATGTGCGTGCTTTAAGGACAATGGGCCTAGGGTCCCACACCTGCTATCATGAAAACTGCAGAAGAAATCTGTGCTTACACTACTGTCTGTGCTGATGGGTAAAAATAGCCAAAGTGCAAAAAACATTAACATCTGAGTACCGAAAAACCTCTGCTTCCCAGTCAGGAAGCTGTGCTTTGGCTCTGAGTATGAAGCAGCCTTCCTGAGTTTGCGAATGAGCTCATGAATAGAGACAGTGCTTCAGCTCTCTTTTCTTATTCAAAGCGACCGAGGCCCGTTTATTAAATTCACTCGGTAAATCAATCCATTTGAGTTCAGGTCACATAGTATGTTTCAGAGTCCCCACTTAATCTCTGCAGCATGCTATCCACTTGGACTTCTAAAACAGCCATCACACACATAGCATCACCATACTCCTCTGGGTGTCTTTGCCTGGACCATCTGTTCTTGCTACCAGCTCTTGTCTCAGTCAAACCCTGCATAAAGATGGTCTCTTACATCAGAACACATTAAAGGTATACTACTTAAGCATAAAACACTGGGTTGTGGGAACAATGAAGATAGAAAATAATTGTAGAACAAATCAGTTTTTAAAAATTGAACTGTAAAAAGTACTCAGATTAGGACTATTTTGCATGGCTTTTGTTAAGTACAGTGTCAATTATAGAAGGGGAAGATTCAGGCTTTTGTTGTGGGAAGTTTTCCCTCCCATCCCTTAGCTCCCAGAGTAACAACTCATGAGATTCAATTCTTATTTTACAAATACCTAGGCCGTATAGCTAGGCTCTTCTCTGACTACCTCATAACTTAAACTAACCCATTATACTAATCTGCATTCTGCCACGTGCCTGGTTACCTGAGCTCAGGTGCTATGCCAGCTGAATCCTGCGTGCCTGGCTCTAAAAGAGAATCCCGTCTGCCTGCTGGATGTCTCACCCATTTCCTGCCTCAGCCATGGACCATAGGTTTTTAATTGACAGGTGTTGCATCCATACAGGACACAGGGGATTCCTTCTACAGGCCTTTCAGTACCTAATGTTTGTGCATGTTTTGTATCTAATGTTTGGGATGTTTTATTTTAAAAAAGATGGACAGAAATTTACATTTAAGAGTTGTACACAGTATCTTAAAAAGGCCATGTGCTTGCAGGATTCCTAAAGCTGCAGTGTCATTAACTACGTGCCGAAGAAGTGCTGTGCATTCTGGCAAACACAGATACAGGACCTCAAACCTGGTCTCTTGAACTAGAAGCTGAAAAGAAACTAAAGGCAGATTAATAGTTTTCCAGAAAGGGGACATAATATAGTCATATTATGTCTTTGGCCAAGCTTTTGGCAATGTTTGCTGAGAATTATACAGCTCTGGGACAGACCTGGCTGACATGGTGAGGGAATGAAGACAAGAAAAGCATATGGACAAAACTCAGGGCTCAGTTAGGTGGGAAGACAGGGTTACCGTACACAGTTAAATCAAGGAAGTGTGTGTGTGGTACCCATCTGGGTCAAGGAGACTGCCTTAGCTCATCTCAGTAGGAACAGTCTCTATAGAGGAGCAGTCTTTAGGCCTTAAATATCCAAGGGGCAGAAGCTACACAGGGTGTTCTCTGCATATTCTGTCAACAACCACACTTGGACCAGGAGGAAAGGCTTTTCTATTTCCCAGGGAAGACTTCCCATTTCCCCAAGGATCTAAGACACTGAAGCTTACGGCATGGCCAGGCTCAAGTCAACAACAATCATTCTGGGCTCCATTCACTTAGGGCTTTCTCCTCTCCCCACATAGGTTGATTGACAAGTTATTAGAGAGTCTTTAAATGTATGTATTGGTGGGCCCTAGCCCCATCAATTACTGAACATCTCTGACACAATAGGTCTGAGGTAGAGCCAAGGAATTAGACTTAGGAAAGTCTTCTTTGGGTAATGTAGCTGATTGAATATTGTTCCAATTTTTTTCTTTTTTTTTAATTTTTTATTAATTACACTTTATTCATTTTGTATCCCCCCATAAGCCCCTCCCTCCTCCCCTCCCAATCCCACCTTCCCTCCCCTTTCTGCATACATGCCACTCCCCAAGTCCTCTCCTTTCTGATCTTAGTCTATCAGTTCTCATCAAAATTGGCTGCATTGTCCTCTACCATGGCCTGGTAAGGCTGCTCCCCCCTCAGGGGAAGGTGATCAAAGAGCAGGCCAATTAGATTATGTCAGAGGCAGTCCCTCTTCCCATTACTAGGTAACCCATTGGACACTGAACTGCCATGGGCTACATCTGTGCAGGATTTCTAGGTTATCTCCACGAATAGTCCTTGGTTGGAGTATGAGCCTCTGGGAAGTTCCCTGTGTTCAAATTATCTTGTTTTGTTGCTCTGCTTGTGGAGTTCCCGTCCCCTGCAGCTTTTACTATTTCCCACTTCTTACATAAAATTCCATTTACTCTACCCATCAGTTGGCCATCAGGTTCAGCATCTGCTTTGACAGTCTATACTGCAGAGGCTTTCAGAGGCCCTCTATGGCAGGTTTCAAGGTTGTTTCCTGTTTTCTTCTGGCTTTCAGAGGCCCTCTGTAGCAGGTTCCGAGATTGTTTCCTATTTTCTTTTTCTTCTGATGTCCATCCTCTTTGCCTTTCAGGATGGGGATTGAACATTTTAGTTAGGGTCCTCTCTTTTGCTTAGTTTGTTTAGATGTACAGATTTTAGTAGGTTTATTCTATGTTGTATGTTTATATGAGTGAGTATATACCATGTGTGTCTTTTTGCTTCTGGGACAACTCACTCAGGATGATCCTTACCAGGTCCCACCATTTACCTGCAAATTTTATGATTTCCTTATTTTTCATTGCTGAGTAATACTACATTGTATAGATGTACCACAGTTTCTGCATCCATTCTTCAGTTGAGGAGCATCTGGGTTGTTTCCAGCTTCTGGCTATTACAAATAAAGCTGCTACAAACATGGTTGAGCAAATGTCCTTTTTGTGTACTTGAGCCTCTTTTGGGTATATGCCTAGGAGTGGTAAGGCTGGATCTTGAGGAAGCACTATTTCTAGTTGTCTGAGAAAGCACCAAATTGATTTCCAGAGTGGTTGTACAAGTTTACATTCCCACCAGCAGTGGAGAAGGGTTCCCCTTTCTCCACAACCTCTCCAGCATGTGTTGTCCCTTGAGTTTTTCATCTTGGCCATTCTGATGGGTGTAAGGTGAAATCTCAGGGTTGTTTTGATTTGCATTTCCCTAATGGCTAATGAGGTTGAGCATTTCTTTAAGTGCTTCTCTGCCATTCGATATTCCTCTGCAGAGAATTCTCTCTTTAGCTCTGTTCCCCATTTTTTAAGTGGATTACTTGGTTTGCTGCTTTTCAGCTTCTTTAGTTCTTTATATATATTGGATATGAGTCCTCTGTCAGATAAAGGGTTGGTGATGATTCTTTCCCAATCTGTAGGCTGTCGTTTTGTTTTGATGACAGTGTCCTTTGCTTTACAGAAGCTTTTCAATTTCATGAGGTCCCATTTATTGATTGTTGCTCTTAGAGCCTGTGCTGTTGGTGTTCTGTTCAGGAAGTTTTCTCCTGTACCAATGAGTTCTAGGGTATTCCCCACTTTTTTTTTCTAGCTGATTTAATGTGTCTGGTTTTATGTTGAGGTCTTTGATCCACTTGGACTTCAGTTTTGTGCAGGGTGATAAGTATGGATCTATTTTCATTTTTCTACATGTAGACATCCAGTTGGACCAGCACCATTTGTTGAAGATGCTATCTTTTTTCCATTGTATGGTTTTGGCATCTTTGTCAAAAATCAGGTGTCTGTAAGTGTGTGGGTTTATTTCTGGGTCTTCTGTTCGATTCCACTGATCCACCATTCTGTTTCTATGCCAATACCATGCAGTTTTTATAACTGTTGCTCTATAGTACAGCTTGAGATCAGGGATGGAGATACCTCCAGAAGATCTTTTGTTGTAGAGGATTGTTTTAGCAATTCTCGGTTTCTTGTTATTTTATACTAAGTTGAGAATTTTTCTTTCCAGGTCTGTAAAGAATTGTGTTGGCAATTTGATGGGAATTGCATTAAATCTGTAGATTGCTTTTGGTAAGATGGCCATTTTTACTATGTTAATCCTGCCAAGCCATAAGCATGGGAGATCTTTCCATCTTCTCATATCTTCCT